GAGGAGTTCCATAAAGAGAGGCAGGTAAACTCTGTCTTTGGTCTTTGAGAGAACGAAGCTGTCTGTAGAGCTCCTGAAGCTCTCTGTTCTGCTGGGCCTGAAGGGAGACAACCTCTTTGATGTGCCTGCAGAGAGATGTGCAAAATAATAATAAAAAAATCAAATGAATGGAAAGTAAAACAATTAACACGTTTCCTTGTTAATGACTTACTTTTCTCTTAGTCTCTGCAGTTCTTTTCTTAATCCTTCATCCCCCAACTCACTTTCATCATCATCATCATCACTGCTGCCAAGTGGGGAGTGGCTGTGTCCAAAACCACGAGAATGGTGGCTCTTTAATGGGGTCATCTTACCGTCTTCTTTGTCCCATTCCTTTGCCTGGGTTTTTCTCCTGCCTCTTCCCAAATCAGGAGACACTGTTGAGCTGTCAGTCTGTTTGTCTTCTGTTTTCGTCACAGAGAAACGCCCCACTTTTCTATGAATGCTACCATGGCCTGACAACAGATCCTTTGGAGGCGAGGTCTGGGAAACTGGATTAACCTGATAACATAAATTAGGAGATATTTGATGGTCCAGACCAAATAAAGCAGAGTCTAAAATCAGGATGCATGACTCCTACCTGAAATTGTTCTTTAGGTGAACCTAACTGTGTCTCCTTCTTATCAACTTCGAGTGCCTGGCTGGATGAAAGTTCTTCTGATAAGATGACAGGGTGAAAAACAAACAAACAAAAAACGCAAAAAGAAATAAATGAAAAATGATGAACAAACCAAATCAATGCAGAAAAAATTAAAGAGAGACACAAACACACATAAGAAACATAAAAAAGTTAGCTACTTGGCAACATTGTTGATTTTCATGTTGTGATATCTGTGTGAGTTATGTATCTTATTAAATAACCCAGGAATATGACAAGGTTATGAAGAACATAACTACACTTTTAAAGATGCAAAAAAATTTAAATAAAAACCTGGTGAAAAATGTTTCTTTCATTCAAAAGAATACGATTAATAAAGCATTTAAATAATGTAATTTCGATATGTTGTTTACCCAATAAACCTTCAGATTCCCAATTGGTCTCTTTTAATAAAGAATGCCAAATTAGACAAATTCAAAACAAAATTTGTAAGATTAAAAGTGCCTTGCAAAAGTATTTTCACATTCTGTCACATTACAACTACTAACTTCAGTATATATAGCCTGCATCCTATGTTTTTAAACCAACATACAGTAAATTACTGGACAATTGTGAAACTAAAGAAAAATGACAAAGGCTTTTTAAGAACTTTTTACACACTTAACAATAAAAACAGTCCCCAGCTTATAGCTGTTAAAGACCAAAAATGTTCTGCCAATTTGTTTACTTCTTAGCATAACCTCTGAGAAGCTTTTTAAAGAAAATCCTTCCCACACCCCAATTCTGCAACCACAATGTTTTATCAGAAGGATTAATAGATTAATGTGATGGCTTAGTTCTCTCTAAAAAAAAATGTGTTTTAGATTAAAGGCCAGAAGGTATTGGTCTTAACTAAATAGATCTGTGCTTGTGAGGAAACATAAATATAACTTCATATAACCCTTTTTCTCAGCAATGGCCTTCTTTTTCTTCTTGTGTTGGTCTGTCAGACTAAATCTAAATAAAATACACAGAAGATGGTTGTTGTAAGGTGACTAAATGTAAAAAAAACAAAAATAACAAAATCCCCCCCCCCCAAAACAAAAAAAAATAAATAACTGGTACCAATATTTCTTGCAGGCACTGTGTAGTGAATGTACTTGGTACTTGGGATTAGCATTACAGCAAAAAGTAGACATGGGTTATTACATCTCAGAAAAATTTTAAATTTGTTACAAAAACATATTACAATAATTATGTAATGAGATAAAACGGAATGTTGATGTTTGTTACAGGTTTTACTTACAGATAACGATCCATTATTAGTCACTGGTGTGGAACATAACAAAGGTGCTCATGCATGTGCTCTTGTAGCTGAGGTCCTACAGTAAGCTACTACTATACAGGCCACACATATAAACACAGAAACATGCAAGATGGATGGAGTATGTTAACAACAAAGTGCAGTGTACATACATAAAAGGCTTTTGAGCATAACCCTAGATATAAATGTCAGGTCCCAGATAAAGTACTCAATCTATAACCCTGTTTCTAAATATATATATATATATGTAAAAGGTAAATAAAAGGTGCAAAACTGAGAAAAGCAATAAAAACCATGAAAGCAGCCTTTGGTCACTTAATGGAAATTATTCATAAGATGTTTAACTAGATGTTTTCTTTTTACTTTTTGTTTCTTTCTTTTCCTGCTTGTAAATACCAGCCTCTGGTTAAAGTCCTTTAAAAATAATTTATTCTTCAAATCTCTGAATTCTGTTTAAATTACATTTGACATCCAAACTGTCTTTGGATATGGGGTTGCTCTGTAAATTAAACATTTTCTCTAAAAATAAAAATTCTATTTATGTCATAGTATTACCACAAAAATATATTGCAAGACATTTATATCTACAAACTTGAGTCTTAATTTTCAATGCTGCAGGCACATAAAGTGCACATGTATTTTAAATAAAATTTTATCACATATGAAGTGACTTGCAAATGTACTCAAACTTTTAATTACAGAAACTAATGTAAATTGTTTTTTTATAGACTTTGGGACATTCTAACATATTGTTCTGGCTCTATGCTGTGTTTCCCTGTTTGTAAGCAAACCGACTCCAGTCCTCTTTCTTCTGCAGTCTATGACTTTTTTTTTTCTGTAAGGACTGCCCTGTACTTAGCTCCACTCACCTTCACATTTAACTTGGCTTTGCTACCTATTCCTACAGCATGACTCTCTCTCAAGATCTGTTAGTTACTATGAGAATAGTGTATTTAGTTATTTTTTCAACCCTGCGAATGCATGCAAACTTTTCAAGAATTGTATTATTAAGATATCTTGAAAACTCTGTATATCCTATTTCTCTTTAGAAAGTTTCATCTTTGCATTGGTCTTTCACATCAAACCCCAATGAAATACATGAGCGCTTGTTGTTGTATCGAGACCAAATGTGAAGAGGTATGACTCATTTTCAAGAAACTGCTTAGCTGCTTAGCATCTCATTCTTATAATTATGTGATGCACTGGCTACACTGAGTCAGAAGGTGAGGTGGAAGCTGCCAGCGGAGCCTGGAGGCGTGGGGCAATGAAGCAGGATGTCATGAGAAACAACAGGCCTTGGGTGAAAGTCACAGCTGGGCTTTTCTCCAGACTTCATCTGCACTTGGAAAGCATCAGGTTTTTAATGCCTACCTGATCCAAAAAAAAAAATCATTCACCCTTTCCTGCAATCCACTGTTCTGCCCTCCGAGTGCCCCATGCAAAACAAAATAAAGTATAGCAAAAATAATTTGAACATAAAAGGAAAAACAATAATGTATGCAGTGATGTAAAAACTGATGTTACATGGGAACTTTAAGCATAAAGGAGAAAGACAAATTGATCTTGAGATATTACATTTTCACTATTTCTTATTCGTTAAGAGTTATTTTTGCTGTTGATATTAGTAATAGATGTTAGCTCTAGGTTCATGCCCCAACACCCATTCTCTCTTTCTCGTGCTCTCTCGTTCCCTCAAAGGACGCTACCTTGTGGGACTCTGGGCTTCTTGAACAAGCTGGCGGAGTGGCGCAGTTTGCATGCCCAGTTTTTGAACTTTCGAGTCCAGGATTTCTTGCTAACCGGATTTCTGATACTAGGACATGTCAGGTTTAGGCCAAAATATCCACCTCCTGCATTGTGCTGCTGCTGTCCATGCTCGAGGGAGATCGCTTGCTGATTGAAAGGCCATGATGCATCTCCGACGGCACTGGTGTCGGAGTGTGGGTGTACAGCCTAAAACAGTTAGGACAATTAAGACTGGCAGTATGAATGGGAGACATAAAAAAATGGAGCTACTTTAACATTTAAATATTACAAGTGATCACAAACACTTAAAGAGGAATCACATTTACACAATAGATTATGAAGGACTAATTCTAGTATTGTTTTTAGTGTTTACTTACAGGTACGGATGGTTCTCCTCTTACAAATGAGTCCTGGGATCCAGTAGCAAGACTGGGAGAGGTGGGCTTGGTGGATGAGGCAGAACCAGAGGGGAGAGAGGGGCCAGGTTGTACCTCTACTGGGCCTGACAGAACAACGTCGCCCACTTCTGAAGAAGCTTCATGTTCCTCTTCCCCTCTTTCTGGGTCAGGGGAGGTAGAAGAGGAGCGGGGAGTGGTAGAAGAGCTGGTCGAGGAGGTGGTTTGTGGGGAGGTGTCTGTGGAAGTGGCAGGTGGGTAAAAAGGCATAGAGGCAGCTGATGTTGGAACAGAGGCAGCCCCAGCTACCATTGCTCCGCTGTTGCACTCCTGATAAAGCAGGTTTCTCAGCTTTTCATCCAAAGTCTTAATACGGTTATCGCCAAATTCAATTTTCGGGGGACCTTCGCTGTCTGACTCAGCCACAGAAGATGGTTGACCTGGGGATGGTGTCATTGTGAAGGAGAGGCTGGGTAGGTGGGCTTCAGTGGAGGCAAGATGGAGAGGGGGCAGAGAGGGGTCAGATGAAGGGTGAAAAGGGGCAGAAAAGTGGCCTGTTTCATCTGTGACACTCGTCTCTCCTGCAGACACCTCAGACTCTGATATATGCGAAGAGGACTGCTTCTGACTTGCACACAGCAATTCCTCTGTGGTTTTAGCTCTCTCGTATTGCAGCTCAGAGTGTAGAAGCACCGTTTGTGGCTGCACCGGCTCAGCAGGCACTAGGCTTGGTTGTGGAATCTGATGTTGTGGTACAGCTGTAACATTTAGCTGTGCCTGCTGTTGGAGAAACTGTTGACTTATGGAAGTGGGAAACATTTGGCCTTGAGCTGCAACACCCACAAACAGCTGATGCTGTTGTTGCTGCAGGTGAAGTTGCATAATTTGCTGCTGCTGTATCATCTGTTGCAAGGTCCCCTGTTGATGCTGTGGCTCTTGCTGCTGGGGAACTATAAGAGCCTGAGGGGCAGAAACTGTCTGTGTAGGCTGCTGAAACAGAGGCTCCTGAGGTAACTGAGGGGCGTATTGTAAAGGCTGCTGTTGAGGTGGCAGGGATTGGGGCATTGGTTGCAGAATCTGAAGTGTAGATGCTTGCAGCACCTCTCTTTGGCCCGACTGAAGAAACACAGGATCTTCAGGAAGGTGTAATTGAACATCTTTTTGCCTTTGTAGCACTTGTGCTTCCTGTTGCAGTGGTTGTTCTTGCAGCAGCAAAGTTTGATCTTGGTTGCCCTGGTACTGGGAAATGTGTTGTTTTGGTGTTAACTGCTGTATCTGTTGTTCAAATGGACTTGCTAAGTGCTGCGGCTGTGCTGTTGCTTGCAGCTGTGATTGTTGTGGGACTAGACAAGTCATTTGTGTAAACACCTGCTGCTCTTCAATGGGAAGTTGAGTTACAAGAGCCAGAGGAGTGGAGTGAATAGAGGTTGATGACGTTTCAGCTGCTGATGGCCTTGATGCATTGCCCATTGTACCTTCTATATTCTGAGGTACAGTGGAGAAAACATTGGTGACTGCAGGGGTTTGGTTACTAGAAACTATGGTGGTGGCTGAAGGAGACACAACAGCAGGAGCATCTGACAATTTTGGGATGCTAGCAGCAGTTGTTGTTGCTGTAGTTGGAAGACAACTGGTAATGTGGTCATCTAAAGCAGCAATGGTTTCATAGGATGTGGTCTTAGCTATAGTGGCTGAAGGGGCAGAGAGAGATAAGGCTGAAGATGAGGCAGATGAAAAGGAGTTGTGAGGGGAAGACACCTTTTCAGTGACTGGCTCAAGAGTCTGAGATGAATATGTTTCTAAAGCCAAAAGAAAACACACATTTAGTTTTTGTTACTTTCTCTGTCATTTCAATAAGCCGCATCATTACCACAGACTGATTTTGTCTCACCTTCATCTTTTTGAGGAGACTGGGGAATTTTTGCCTCAGCAGTGGGCGGAGGTGTGACTGCACCCTGGCCAGACAGGGAGTCTCTGTGACGAATGGTCTGGTTGATAAAGAACCGCCAGCGACCCACTGGGGACGACTGGGGGACTGACTCCATGACTAAACCATAAAAGCAGCTCATTAGTTTTGAGAACAAATTTTTTTTTACAATC